TTTTTTTAGTAGAGAGGGGGTTTCACCGTGTTAGCCAGGATGGTCTCGATTTCCTGACCTCGTGATCCGCCCGTCTCGGCCTCCCAAAGTGCTGGGATGACAGGCTTGAGCCACCGCGCCCGGCCTCTATCCTCTATTTCTAAGAGGATACTCTTGGATCTGTTTCTTTTCTGGCAGGAAGCTAGGAAGCTAGGAAGCTAGGAAGCTAGGAAGGGGTCCTGCCCTGGCTCTGGGCTGTCACCTTAAACACCATGTAAAGGTCCTCCAGCTCTTCAATTGAGAAACCAATGTCCACAGGTATAGCTCGGACCTAGAAGGAAGGAGAAACAGGGTGTATGGCTGGATCACAAGCTCCTGCCACAGAAGTACAGCACTCCGTGGGAGTATCCTCAGCAGATGAAGGCAAGGGTGTGAACCGCCTCTCAGTGGCCCAGCACTCAAGGGCAGACCCTTCAGGAGAGGGCGAGGCCCACAGCCATCCCTGACTCCCCACCCACCAGTCAGCTCACACTCCTGGGCTCCTTCCCAGGATGGGCTTGGGGGAGCCTCTCTCCTCAACATACAGTTGAGGTTGAAGGGTGAGGAATGCTCATTTGGCTCCCATCGTCCGGATCCCTGCGGAGACCCTGGTGCCAGCTCCGTAGAAGGAGCCCTCGAACCTGCCAGCCAGTGCTCCTTTGCTTTAATTGGCCGAAGCAGCCAGTCTCTGGTGCTGTGACCCAATGTCTTTACCGTGTCCCACAAGCCTGCAGGAGGGCTGGGAGTGTGGAAACAATGGAAGAAGTCCCTGCCTTTGGGGGCAGAGACCACAAACAGGTCTTGCAGTACAGGGTGGCAGGGAGGGCCTGGCCCCTCCAGAGACAAGGACAGAAGCCTGTGGCAGAGACATGGCATCTGGGGTGTGTGGAGGGTGGTGGCATGTTGCCGCCACCTGGGAGTGGGGCAGGGAACACATGGCACAGCCAGGCTGGGCGGGCTCGGCCCAGAGGGCATGTGGCTGTCAGGGTGGCAGCCATCTGAGAAGCTTCCCGGTGACTCACCCACCAGCAGAGAAAAGTGACTGGGACCTCTCCCCACATTCCCACCTACACCCCTGGATCTGGTCCCATGAATCCTACCATGATGTACGTACCAAAGCAGTGTAGGACAGTGGGTGCGGTGGAGCCCTGCACCCACCCTGCTCTGTGGAGAGGGCTCCGCTGCCCCCCGGCCCAGCCCCGCCCAGCCCCGCCCAGCCCCGCTGGCACCCATACCACACTCCTCTTGGCCGTGTCCTCCAAGGACTGGATCACTTTCAGCCTCTGTTTAAACCGCATCTGCTCGATGTCCTCGGCCCTCAGGCTGCTGAATTTCTACAGGCAGAGGTGACTTGGTGAGATCGAGCCAACTGCAGGGCAGAGGGCCGCCACCTGCCCGTAGCTACCCAAACCCACAGGCCAGATGGAGTGGCCTGGCCAAACTGACCCCACTGGATGCTGACCTCATAGGACACTTTCAGGAGCTCAAAGATGTCCACCTCTGCAGGGGGGTCATCGCCGCTGGTCAGCAAAGCATGGAGGTGTGGGATAGGAGGAGAGACACTCTGCTTATTGACCACATTATCCAGGTATCTACAAAAGGCAGAGGACAACCGTCCAGACCGCGCCCAGGCAGAGGGAGCCTCCTTCCCACAGCTGGGTGATGCGGAGGGACCCAACGTTTACACAGATTCCTAACAAGGAGTGTGCTGAGGACTGGGCACCCTGCAGGAGGGCAGAGGTGTGCCCCGGCAGGGCCCCCAGCAAGCTTGGGAGCTCTCTACGGGGCAGTGCTCCCAACAAGGCCTGAGCACTAACCCTGAGGACACCAGGCTGTTTTCTTAGTGGGGGGGTCCCCTGGGCAGGAATGCTTTATAACCCCAGGCCCTAACCAGATGGAAGGACAAGTTTCCTCCCTTTGGCGGGACCCTGGGGACGTGGGACCTTCTCGCCCTGGCCAAGAAGATTCAGGGATCAAAGGCTGAGTTGCAGGAGAAAGTCAGGTATGGGGAGGCCTGCTGCAGCTCAGGGAATCAGCTTCTCCAGGGACACAGCCCTGGGGATGGAGCCCGACCTCGGTCAGCTGCCCTAGCCCCGGCAGAGTTCATGGCCTCCCTGGCTCTCTGGGCTGAGCCTGACCTCAGCTGGGAGGAGGTAGCTGATTCCCCATGCCCATGGCCCTGATAGTGTCCCCTGCTCTGGAGGAGGCCCCACCCACTTGTAGGAAGGGGCAGGAAAACCAGCCAGACTCCAGCCACAGGCTGAGTATCTTGACATCAGTGTGAACCAAAAGCTACTTAGGCCCACAGTAGGAAGGTGACAACTCTGCTGGATCTAGACAGTCCCAGGCAGCACCTGGCCTGGCCACAGGCAAGTGGTAGAGTCCCAGGCTGTTCCCGGGGGCTGGGGGCATTCTAGGTCAGACAAATACACTATGTAGGAGGGTGGGATTGCACAGAGCTCAGGGCAGGGCAGAGGGTAGCCAGGAGGGGCCGGGGCGTGAAGGCCAGGCTGGGGGCTCAGACAGTGCCTTTGTACAGAGGACCCAGGCGAGGGGGAGGGCCAGGTCTGATCAGAGTCCTGGGATGCAGGCAGGTGAAAGACCTGAGAGGGGAACCCCAGGGAAAGGGCACGGTGGGCCTGGGCTGAGGCAGCAGGCTGAAGGGAAGGGGGGAAGGGACTGGATCCCAGACAGAATCTGCAAGGCATGGGATGTGGGGACTAAGGAGCGCGTGGAGGGGCTGGGATGACCCCGGGCCTCTGGCGTGACTAGCAGGACATCAGCTCATCCAGCTGTTCCAGTGGGCCCAGGGCAGGCCTGCTCCCTCCAGGGCGTGGGGTCTGCATTGCAGCTGAGCTTGGGGAGGTATGACCAGGACCACCTGGTGGACATGAAATGCCCAGCTGTGCCACCAACTGGAATTGTGGTCACTGGATCTTGGCTCTGGGTTGCCCCTAGGAGAAGCATCCCCACCCCCCAATCTGAGCGGCGGCCCTCCAGCCAGCGTGCTCTGCCCACAGCTCCTGCTTTATTCCTCCTGGCACCTATCACTGAGCGCTGCTTCATCTCCCACTAGAAAGGAGCCGGCTCCTGACCCCAGAGCACCCCCGCGTCCAGCTGCGGCCTGGCACTTCGCAGACACAGTCACTGGAGGCTGACTGGACAGTGCCCATGGCTGGTGAGGGGTTCTGCTGCGAGCCCCTAGCAGGAGAAGGAGCCCGGCATGTCACCTGCCCAGCATGGTCATGGCCTCGCCCTCGTCGCTGCAGCCCAGCAGCTGCTCCATGTTGGCGTCCAGGACGGCCAGGGCCACCTGCAGGATCACCTTGATGCCCTCATAGAAAAAACAGTCGACGATGACCACAGCGCTCTCGAAGGGCATGACACTGAGGAAGAGGGTCAGGAACCAGGACAGCGAGATGCTGGAGATCACCCCCAGGTCCTGCATCTTCTCTGAGAGCTGCGGCAGGAAGTCTCTTGTGAGCTCTTCAAAGATGCCTTGGTCCACCAGGGCTCCTGCGGGCAGGATAAGTGAGGCTGATGGTGAGCCCACCCCATGGCCTGGGTGGGCCCTCGCCTGCAGCCTACCAGCCCTGGCCACACCAGCATTGCCAGCTTTTCAGTGAGGGCTGAAGGGGACTTGGAGTGCCGGGAGAAAACAAGGACGAAAAAACCCTTCAAGTCTTCTCTCTACAGCTTCCAAACCACTGGGCGAAATAACTATTTCCTCCACTACACTTGAATTTTATTTGGGGGAAATACTGATTTCTCCCTGAGGCATGAGAGTTAAACAGCACCCTCAGTGACTGTGTCCCATCCTGATGACTGCGAATAGATGCAGCTCTGAAGGGCTCTAAGAGCGGTAACTCCAAACACCAGACGGCAGGGGAAGGACAGGATAACACACTTAAATATGAACTTAATTAAATACTCTTGCAAGTCATTTCCATTTAGTAACAGATTTCACTGGATGTGAGTTCAGTAAAGTTGAGCATCAGGTTACATGGGGGACATACACTCTCTAGTTTTGATGTTTGAAATTTTCTATAATCGGAAAGCTGACAGAAAGTTAGATGCATAGGAACTTAGGCTCTGAGGGGACTTTTATAAATCACCGAATGTGTAATACTACCCTCTAACTCCTAGGGAACCACGTGAAGCCTGGAGCTTGGCCTGGGAAGGGCTGCCGCCCTCATGGAACCAGCAGGCACCTGGAGACTCAGGCAAGGCGGCACCTGGGGACACTCACCCACCACCCTGGTGTTGTAGTAGTCGGGCAGCATGCGCTCGCACAGGGCCACCAGGAGCCAGAAGGCCTCCTCCTCACTGCCATAGAGCAGGAGCACCGAGGTCACGATGTTCATCGCCTGCCGGGCAGAGACAGCCGGGGAAGGCTTGCACTGCTGGCCAGCAAATGAAACTGTCTCTCCCTACCCCTCCCAGCTGCCCCCTCCCTAAAAGGGCCCACATGATCTCCTTCTTTTTGTTGTTGTTATTTTTATTATTTTTCAGGTTCTCATGGTAAAGATTAATGGCCTCCTACAAGCAAGTTTGCCTCTTCAGGAGCGCTGGGCATCTGGTAATGAGAAACTGCCCCTGCCCAACTCCGGGAAATGTCAAAAGGCAATTTGTAGGAAACTGATTGAACAGAGAGTCGGCCAACTCCTTCAAACTGGGTCAGAAGGCACTGGGAAACCACAGAGAAAGTGGACATCAACACATCACACTTCTGCAAAGTGGTGTTGGGTGTCGGAGGTGGGACGCGTGACCGAGCTGACGTGGAGGTGAGCCACGTGGCCAGAGCCCCACACCAAGGCCACTCACTGGGCACAGAACTAGGACCACACATAGCCCTAGCTGCTAACAAGACCTTTAAGGCAAACAGAATGCCATTTGACTCAGCCAGGAAAATGCCTGGAGTTAAAACCAAAAGCTGCCAGAACTGCTAACCCAAAGCATAATTAAATACCCTCATGCCCATCACTATAACAGAATATAGCAAGTGTTGATGAGGATGTGGAGAAATCGAAACCCTTGTGAATTGCTGGTGGGAATATAAAATGGTGCAGCTGCTGGGGAAGAAGCATGCAGTTCCTCAAAAAATTAAAAATAGGCCAGGCCACAGTAGCTCACGCCTTCTAATTCCAGCACTTCAGGAGGCTGATGAGGGTGGATCACTTGAGTCCAGGAGTTCAAGATCAGCCTGGGCCACACAGTGAGACCCCGTCTCTACAAAAAATACAAAACAGAGCTGGGCGTGGTGGTGTGCCCCTGCAGCCCCAGCTACCCAGGAGGCTGAGGTGAGAGATTGATTGAGCCCAGTAGATGGAGGCTGCAGTGAGCCATGATCGTGCCACTGACCTCTACTGTAGGCAACAGAAGGAGATCCTATCTCAAAAAAAGAGCCCAGGAATGGTGGCTGGTAGCTCACGTCTGTAATCTCAGCATTTTGAGAGGCTGAGGCAGAAGGATCACTTGAGCCTAGGACTTTGAGGCCTGTCTGGGCAAGACAGTGAGACCCCATGTCTTAAAAAAAAAAAAATAGCTGGGTATGGTGGCATATGCCTGTAGTCCCAGCTACTTGGGAGGCTGAGACAGGAGGATTCCCTTGTCCAAGGAGCTTGAGACCAGCCTGGACAACATAGCAACACCCTGTCTCTAAAAAAATAAATTAAATAAATTAAAAATAGAAATATTGGCCAGGCACAGTGGCTCATGCCCATAATCCCAGCACTTCGGGAGGCCAAGGCAGGTGGATCACCTGATGTCAGGAGTTCAAGACCAGCTTGGCCAACATGGCAAAACCCCGTCTCTACTAAAAATGCAAAACATTAGCTGGGCAGGGCGGCATGTGTCTGTAATCCCAGCTACTCAGGAGGCTGAGGCAGGAGAATCGCTTGAACCTCGGAGGTGGAGGTTGCAGTGAGCCGAGATTGCGCCACTGCACTCCAGCCTGGGCAACAAGAGTGAGATTCCATCTCAAAAAAAAAAAAAAGAAAAGAAAATGTGGTCTATGTAATATGATTGAGTCTTAGAAAGAAAAGAAATTCTTTTTTTTTTCTGAGATGGTCTCGCTGTGTCGCCCAGGCTGGAGTGCAGTGGCGCGATCTCGGCTCCCTGCAAGCTCCTCCTCCCAGGTTCACACCATTCTTCTGTCTCACTCTCCCGAGTAGCTGGGACTACAGGCGCCTGCCACCTTGCCTGGCTAATTTTTTGTATTTTTAGTAGAGACGGGGTTTCACCGTGTTAGCCAGGATGGTCTTGATCTCCTGGCCTTGTGATCTGCCCGCCTCAGCCTCCCAAAGTGCTGGGATCATAGGTGTGAGCCACCGCGCCTAGCCCGAAAGAAAGGAAATTCTGACACATTCATATGACATGGATGACCCTTGAGAATATCATGCTAAGTGAAATAAGCCAGGCACAGAAAGGCAAATACTGTATTATTTCACATATATGGGACACAGTTGTCCAGTTCATAGCAATGGAAAGTAGAACAGTGGTTGCTGTGGTGGTTGGGGCATGTTTAATGGGCACAGAGCTTTGGTTTTGCAAGATGAAAAGAGCTCTGGGGATGGATGGCGGTGACGGGTGCACAACAGTGTGAATGTGCTTAAAGCACTGAGCTGTACACTTAAAAATGGTGAACATGGGGAATTTTATGTTCTGTTTACTTATTTTACCAAACACATAAAACAATCGAATGCTGCTGGGACTCAGACAAAAGGAGCAAGAGGACAACTTCTATTTGGCATGGGGATGAGATGAGCAAGTAATACTGCTTTTAAATTACGTCTTTCTCTGCAGCTGCGCTCCTTCCTTGGGACATGAGGCAGGGTCACCACACAGGCCTGGGACCACAGGGACCTGCTCCTGTGAGCCTCTGGTGGCAGATGCTGTCTCTGGGCCCCTGTCAGGCCCCTTACCTGGCAGTAGCCGATGGTGGGGTTTCGGAAGGCATAGGCGGTCAGCACCCGCCGGAGGGCAGCAATGCCGAGCTCGTTCTGGAAGGCAGGGTGCTCGGGCATGGAGCGGTGCAGGTCTCGCTCGATCTCCTCTGTGGCCAGGCTATACTTCCCAGTGGACTTCTCCACCAGCTCAGCATAGTAGCCGGGGTGAGTCACCATCTCATTCCAGGCCCCTGGGGAGACACGGGTCCCGGCTGTCTCTGTCCTTCTTCTGGTACTTTGGGGGCAGTAACAGGGCAGGTTGGAGATACCGGTGCCCCACAGAGGAGAGGTGGGACTTGGGATCAAGCACAAGCTGCGAGGCAAGCTTTCCCTTGTGCTCCCGGGGAGGCTGCTCTACCCGAAAGTTCAAGCGGCTGACTTGCCTCCTCTAGAAACCACGGGTGTGAATGCTGTCAGAGCCCGTCCCAAGGAAAGGAGGCCTCTAGGGGACCCGTTTCCCTCCCACCCGGCCAGCAGAGTGCTTGGCCCCCAGCCTCTGTCCCTCGGGATGCTCCTCCTGGTTGGGCCCCTGGCCATGGCCCAGAGCCCGGATCCCGGCTATGTGAAAGTTGGGAGCTCCTGCCTGGCCAGCTTAAGAGGCGGAGGTTGCAGTGAGCTGAGATTGCATCGGTTCAGGCCGGCTCAGGACCAGACGAGCTCACATGGCGAGAGCTTGGGGGCTGTGACTGGCTGAGACATGGAGAGAGCTTGGGGGCTGTGACTGGCTGAGCTGAGGTTGGGGGTGGCTGCATCCCACTCACCGGAGAAGAGGAGCCATAGCTCTCCCCGGAGGCTCTCAGGGATGCCCTTCAAGACCAGTGCCCGTGTCTTGGCTGTGCGGTACATGCACACGCCGCGCCCATACTCGAAGAAGTGGATGTGCCATGATTCCTCTTTCATCTTCTCCTTGGCCTGAGGGAAAAGCGCATCAGGGAGCCTGGGGGCCGAAGCACATCTGAGTGCGGAGGCCTAGGCCATGCCGAAAGCCTCGTGAACACTCCAGACAGTGCTGGCCTGCAGGTGTGGCCTTCCTCACGATTCCCGGGAAAGACCAGGCCGCGCTGAGCCACACCTCCCAAGGCTCAGGAGACCAGCTCCTCAGCGGGAGGGCCCTTCCCTTCAGAGGCCTGGAGCCCATGGCAAACAGCACCACTGAGCAGGTAAGTGGAGCCCCCGAGAGAGTGCCTGCTCTGTCCCACGCTGCCAGGGTGCAGCCTGGATGGGCACTGCCCAGTGGTCAGCCTAGGGCCCTGAGGGAAGGCACAGGCCCAGGACTGGATCCAGCTTTCCTCCTGAGGGCTCCGCTCTGGACGGAGGCTGGAGTGCCGGCGCTCAGGGCTCACCCCCTTGGCTCCAAGGTCCTCCATGGGCGAGTTTTTCTGGAAGAGCTTGAGCAGGCCCTGGGATGCGGTTGGCACCTCCTGCGCACAGAAGCTCTGTCGGCTGCTGAGGGGAGAGGCTGGGCTGGCAGGCTGCTCCGGCACCTCCTGAGGAGCTGGAGAAGACTAGAAAACAAAACAGGGAAGGGGACACCTAACAACTGTGCTGCCGGGCAGCCTCTGACGCGCTGTCCACCCACAGCTGGACCAGGGCCCGGTGCAGAAAGGGCCATGGGGGCGAGCGGTGCATGGAGAAGAGCCTGTCTGGTTGGGCAGGAGGCTGTGGCTGCAGCTCTGCCCTCAGCTCTTCTCTGGCTGCTGGACACCGAGTCCTCAGTAACCAAACCCACCCTCACCAGTGAGTTAGTCTCAGGGAGTGAATTCTGGGAGGTCAGTGTAAAGAACAGGAGAGGCCCTATCCTAACGTGGAGGCACACCCCTGCCCACTCTCAGACCCATGCTTCTTGGGCTGCACAGAGGGTTGGGCGATGGCCTGTGATGTTGGTCTGGGCTCAGGGTGGGTTTGGGGTGACTGCGTCACCCAGTTGCCACCAAGGAAACGAGTGGCCCTCCTGCAGGAGTGTTGGGATAACCCAGGGAGCGTGCCAGGCCTGCGGCTGCCATCACGGTGCCACACGGGCCTGAGAGTGACAGGAGTGTTGGGGTAACCCAGGGAGCATGCCAGGCCTGCGGCTGCCATCATGGTGCCACACGGGCCTGAGAGTGATGCTGTCTTGGCAGAAAGCAAAGTCCAGTGTGGGAGAGCCCAGCTCGACCGGGGCCAGCTGACTGCCTGAGCTTCTTGGCTCTGCAGGTGGTAGACTCCCCATGGTGGGCTCCAGCCTGGGCTGGGCTCTCTATCCCTCACACCCTCCCGCTGGCTCTGGTCCCGTGGTCATGGTCCCACTGCACCCAGGGATGGGGCAGCAGCCAATGTGCTAGGCGCCCTCCTAAGACACTTTATATTCTGTGTTTTTTGAGAGAACCCTGATCTTGACTGTGGTGATGGCTTCATGGGGGTATACATGTTAAAACGTACCAAATTGTATTCCTTAAATATGTACAGTGTATTGCATATCAATTTTACCTCAATAAAGTTAATACAAGAGGAAAAAAGAAAAAAAAAGAGAGAACTCTGCTAGGTTCACACCCACAGTCTACCCCTCTGTCCCCCATGATGTTACAGAGACGGCTTTTGGGTCCACTTAAACAAATGTTTACGACGAGCTGCCTGAATCCAGTGGGCACAGCCCCAGTGCAGACCGACTGCCTGCTTGGAGATCCTGCTTCCCACCTGAGCTCCCCCAGAGGGACTGACTAGGACACACATGGGTTTGCAGGCTGTGAGGTGCCTTGGAGGATCACAAATCTTAGTGCCAGGGAAGGAGCCAGACCGCCGGGTGTGTGCTGCGCAGCAGACGCGTGCTCCCGGTGAGGCGGCAAATGCGACACTGAGCTTGGGGACCAGGTTGCTTTCTGCAGAAGCTTGGCTCAGGTCCCGCCTTACATTCAGGCTCACTGGCCTCAGGTGAACTCTCAGAGCTGCCTGGGATCCTATGTATTCCTAGTCCCGTCCTCCCTGCTTCCCCGAGGTAACCACCTCACATAAACCTCCAAAACCACCTGCCATCCTTGCATCCCACTGAACCACACTTCTTCCTGTTAAACTGAGCACACGGGAACAATCTGAGCCCTCCACAGGTGACTGCCCGCCTGCCCACCCACCTGCCTGCACCTGGACCCCATCCCCTGCCTTCTCTGCAGGAGTCGCTCTCCAGCACAGAACTGCACTGTTATTCCCCTAAAGGCCACCCCCACTTCAGCTGGGTGTTGTTCACATGTTATGCTCGCTCTGCTAAGATTCATCCAGTTGTATACTGTATGTGTACTCCTGGGTATGTATGTTAAACTTCAGTTAAAATTCCAGCCCTCCCAGAAGTTACCTCATTACTTTCTGCTGACCTTCACACAAAACTTCTTGAAAGAGATGCTTAACCTGTCTCCTTTCTCCAAGTTTTTTCCCGTGTCAAAAAGTGTATATTTATACTGTAATACTTTTATGCTAATACCATTATATAGTTCCCTTAGTCCTCTCTTTTTAAGATGTCAATTCCCTACTATAAGCAATATCGAAATTAGCTAGTAGGCCTTTTCTTCCCACTTTCCTCCCTCTCTGCCAACATCTGATCAAAAGGATATACTTTTTTTTTTTTTGTGAGACGGAGTCTCGCTCTGTCACCCAGGCTGGAGTGCAGTGGCCGGATCTCGGCTCACTGCAAGCTCCGCCTCCTGGGTTCACGCCATTCTCCTGCCTCAGCCGCCCGAGTAGCTGGGACTACAGGCGCCCGCCACCTTGCTCGGCTAGTTTTTTGTATTTTTTAGTAGAGATGGGGTTTCACCGTGTTAGCCAGGATGGTCTCGATCTCCTGACCTCGTGATCTGCCCATCTTGGCCTCCCATAGTGCTGGGATTACAGGCTTGAGCCACCGCGCCCGGCCAAAAGGATATACTTTTAATTAATAAGGCAATCAGTGAGCCTACTCTACTTTCCATGTACCTTCCTTTTTTTTTTTTGAGAAGGAGTCTCGCTCTGTCACCCAGGCTGGAGTACGGAGGTGCAACCTCCACCTCCTGGGCTCAGGCAATTCTCCTGCCTCAGCCTCCCAAGTAGCTGGGATTACAGGTGTGCGCCACCTGGCTAATTTTTGTATTTTTAATAGAGATGAGGTTTCACCATGTTGGCCAGGCTGGTCTCAAACTCCCGACTTCAGGTGACCTGCCTGCCTCGGCCTCCCAAAGTGTTGGGATTACAGGTGTGAGCCACCAAGCCCAGCCTCATATACCTTCCTGATCTCAGGTTTTGATTGTACTATGTCTCCATCATCAGAGACTATTACATTTACATACTGTCACCTCTATTCCTACTATCTAACCTTAATTCCACAGCTAAATATATTCAATGCTACCACCAGTCCTTATGCCCAAGCTGCTTCCATCACTCCTTGGTTGTCTGGAGTCTGTCCTCCAGCAGACTCCACAGACGCTGAGAGAGCCCCTGAACTCCTCTGCATGTTCTTTACAGCCTATGGTCTTTATACCTGAAGGTCAGTTCGGCTGGGTATAAAATCCTTGGGTCACAGCTTCTTTTACTGTATATCTTAAAAATGTTACTTTGTATAATCTCAGCACTTTGGGAGGCTGAAGTGGGTGGATCACTCTAGGTCAGGAGTTCAAGACCAGCCTGGCCAACATGGTGAAATCTCAACCCCATCTCTAAGAAAAATACAAACATTAGCCAGGCATGGTGAAACGCACATGTAGTCCCAGCAACTCAGGAGGCTGAGGCACGAGATTGCATGAACCTGGGAGGCAGAGGTTGCAGTGAGCCGAGATTGTGCCACTGCACTCCAGGAGACGCCCCCTGCTCAACCCCCACCAAAAAGTTACTCTAAAATGTTGCTACTGTATCACAAAGTCTCATACCTCTCTGAGGAGGAATCTCTCAGGATCTTGGCCCACTGCAACCTCCGCCTCCCACCTCCTGGGTTCAAGTGATTCTTGTGCCTCAGCCTCCCGAGTAGCTGGGATTCCAGGCATGTGCCACCACATCTAGCTTATTTTGGTATTTTTAGTAGAGACAGAGTTTCACCACGTTGGCCAGACTGGTTTTGAACTTCTGGCCTCAAGTGATCTGCCTGCTTTGGCCTCCCAAAGTCCTGGGATTACAGGTGTGAGTCACTGTGCCCAGCCTGGACTAATTTTTAAATCTTTAAAATCAAATAGTTTTATGAGATTATATGTCAATATTGACTATTTTGTATTGATTTTTCTAGACATTCAATGTGCCCTTCCACTATACAAGTTCAAGCTTATTTTCTAAGTTTTCCTGAATCATGGTTCCTATTACCTGTTATTCCACCGCTTTTCTCTGGGAAGGGTGTGGGGTAGCACTACAATTATACGTAAGTTGGATCTTCTTTGCCTGACTTCTTTATCCCTTCTCTGGACAATTTCTTCTCTATTTGTTTGAGTCTCGTCTGACTCCATTTTTCCTCCGTCTCTTCCTTATTTACCTTAATGTATTTTCATTCTTGTGTTCCTGATTTTCATTTCAGAAATATGTGTTTTTTTTATTTCCTCCTGAGTCCTGTCAACTCTCTTCATATTTTTCTGTTGACTAGTCACTTTTAACCTGAGCTTTCTAAACATTTTTAATTTATACCATTCTTTAGTAGTTTCTTTTTTTTTTTTTTTGAGACAGAGTCTTGCTCTGTCGCCCGGGCTGGAGTGCAGTGGCCGGATCTCAGCTCACTGCAAGCTCTGCCTCCCGGGTTCACGCCATTCTCCTGCCTCAGCCTCCCGAGTAGCTGGGACTACAGGCGCCCGCCACCTCGCCCGGCTAGTTTTTTTTTTTTTTTTTTTTTTTTAGTAGCCAGGATGGTCTCAATCTCCTGACCTCGTGATCTGCCCATCTTGGCCTCCCAAAGTGCTGGGATTACAGGCTTGAGCCACCGCGCCTGGCCCATTCTTTAGTAGTTTCTATAGTTTTTCTAATTCCTTTGAGATCACTTGGAAACATCAGGACACAGTTTTCATCTGCCTGGAGGAATGTTTTTCTGGTGTGCTTTCATTATCTGTGGAAGGTTATCTGGTTCACTCTCTCCCCACAGTATCTTTGTACAGGGTGTGATCAGCATCTTTTCCTGTTCTTTCAGCAGGATGTTCTATGTATGGGCGGTTGTGGGTCAGAGTAGCTTTCTGAACTCTACAGCTGGAAGGGGCCTTTCCCTGCAGTGGTCGGTCTGTGTAGCCCTTGCTCCTGTACTTTCTAGGATCGGCCACCTCTTTCTTGTATCTGAAGCTTTTCTCCTTTACCCCAAGTGCTCCTGCTCTGTTCAATCCCAGCTCTTTTCTTGCAGAAGAGAAGTTTTTGTCAAGGGCATGCTTCCCTCACATTCCTGATCTTTCCTCAGCCGTATAATATGTCAGGCAGCGATAAGGCTGTGGGTAGAAATAAAGCAGGATTTTGTGCTTCCATTAATAAAAAAGCCTCCTCTATAAACTGGAGCCTGGAGCCTGAGACTGACTGCCCCAGTCTCACTGGCTCTCTCAGATTCACTTGGTGAGGTTTCCATTTGCGAAGTAGTCTCTCGTGAGGGGTATTCTGGTGACTTCTGGATTCCTTGGCTCTTAGGACTGTCGGAGCCCCTTTTCCTTCCTGCCATTGCCTCAGCACAGCTACTGGCTCTGTGTCTGCACAGAGTCATGTCACAGTTGGTGGTCTGGCACCCATCTATGGTGCATAGTTGGTGCAGAGAGCATAGCATGGAGGTTCCTCGAAATATTAAAAATAGAATTGCTATACAATCCAGCAATTCCACTCCAGGGTATGTCCCCAAAAGAAATGAAAGCAAAGATTCGAACAGACATCTGTACACCCATGTTCACAGCAGTGTTACTCATAGTAGCCATGAGGTGGAAGCAGTCCAAGTTTCAATGGATGAACAAAATGTGGCTTATCCATACAATGGCATGTGATTCAGCCTTAAAAAAGAAATCTTAAGCATGCTACAACAGGGATGAACCTGGAGGACATCATGCTAAATGAAGTAAGCCAGGCACAAAAGGGAAAATACTATATGCTTCCACTTATGTGCATTACCTAGAATAGTTCAATTCAAAGAGTCAAAAGGTAGAATGGTGCTTGCTAGGGGCTGGGAGAGTGGGGACTGAGGAGTTACTGTTTAATGGGTTCAGAGTTTCAATTTTGCAGAATTGAAAAAGTTCTGTGGATGGATGGTGGTGACGGCATAACAAGGTGAATGTACTTAATGGTAAATGTTGTTATGTGTGTTTTACCACAATAATATCTCCTGAATCTGACCCCTTCTTACCACCTACACTGCTCCTACCTTTGATGCTGGACTCTATCATCTTGTGCCCTGCTACTGTGGCGGCCTCCAGCCGGCCTCCTTGCTTCTGCTCTTGCCACTCTCTAGTCCAGCACTGCCCAAGAGAGACGATGACAGCCACAAATGTAATTGTAAACTTTCTAGTAGCCACACTAAAAAGTCCTAAAATAAATCGAGATTAATTTTAACAATATATTTGACTTAATCTAATACATCTAAAATATTTGCATTTCAACAGGAATCAATTAAAAAATGATGGAGTGGCCAGGCGTAGTGGTTCACTCCTGTAATCCCAGCACTTCGGGAGGCTGAGGCAGGTGGATCATCGGAGGTCAGGAGTTCGAGACCTATCTGGCCAACATGGCGAAAACCCATCTCTACTAAAAATACAAAATTAGTTGGGCATGGTGGTGGATGCCTGTAATCCCAGCTACTCGGGAGGCTGAGGCAGGAGAATCACTTGAACTTGGGAGGCAAAGGTTGCAGTGAGCCAAAACTGCCCCACTGTACTCCAGCCTGGGTGACAGAGCAAAACTCTGTCTCTCAAAAAAAAAAAAAAAGGGAGATATTTTATGTTTTTCTTTTCATACTAAGTCTCCAAAACCCACGTATAGTGAACACTTACCGTACATTTCCGCTGGGACCTGCTGGGTTTCCAGTGCTCCATGGCCACACGTGGCTGCTGTACTACATGGGGCACCTCTAATCCACTGTCAACGTGGGCGGCCTCAGTAACCCCATTAACACGTAAACAGGTCCTGTCCTCCTCTGGTCATGACTCTTCACTGGTTTCTCATCTCACCTAGGGTCAAAGCTGCAGCACTCACAGGGTCTACGGGCTTTCGGTGACTTGGCCTTCTGCCACCTCTCTGGTCTCACCGCCTACACCTGGTCAGTCTCCTAAGCCCTGGTCCCAGGAGCCCGTGCCACGCCCAATCCTGTCTCCCAGCTTGCTGTGCTCTCTGCCTCCAACACTCTGCCCCAGACACACTACGGCTGGTTCCTCTGCTTCTTTCAAGTTCCTCCTTCAGTGCTGCCTGATCAGTGAGGTCACCCACGAGGAACAGAGAGAAAATGGAGCCCCCTTCTTTCCTCTGGCACTCCTCATCTCCTCATCCTGCTTTATTTCAACCCATAGCCCTTATCACTGCCTGACATATTGTATGTTTATTTGCTTACTGTCTCCCTCACTGGAATATTAGCTCTAAGTGAACATGCACCCTGTCCGATGTGTTCACTGTTCTACTCCTGGGGCCTAGAATAGCAGCTGGCACCTAATAGGAATGCAATAAAATGTGTTTGCATACATGAAGCCGAGTGCCTGGGAGGGGCCACGAGTGGTGCTTACTCAGCTTTCAGGAAGTGTGGGGCCTCATGGAGGCAGAGGAGGCTTGACCACCCTGTTCACTGCCCTGCCACTCAATCCAACTTCACTCTTTCTTGAAATCCCAGATGAAGCCCAACCTCCTCCACACCTTTCTTAGTATCTCCAATCCACACTGATTCCGCCCACCCCTTCCCACCCACTCATCTATGTAGTAATTTATTTAGCATCTATTATTGGGGCAGACAATGTAAAGGCCTGCCTGGGCCAGACCACACACGGTTCTAAAGCACTGAGGACACGTGCACCCGCAGCTCCCATGCCTGCTGCCCAATGAGATGGGGCCTGCAGGGCTGGGCACTGATTTTTCCAGAGAAACTGGATCTGTGAATTTATATATGGACTCTTCTAATGGCCAAATGTTTTTGCAAATTCAGACTCAACGACAGCAGCAGCACATCCATCTTGTCACACCAGAAAGCAAGGAATCAAAGACGACCAGTGTTGTGCCCAGGGACTCTCAGGGCCAGCCCAGATGAGCCCCTCTGGCCACATATAGAATACGCATAGTGATTCCAGTGGAAAGACACATATCAAGTTGCTTAAATCCATATGTTCATAACTACAATAAAAAGTAAGCCAAAAAACTCACTGGTCACACATGGAAGACACTAGGAAACCAGCTCATCATTATTCTGACAACTGGAGAGTAAGAAGGAAGAGTAAAAGATGTATTCTGCCTTTCCTCTGAACCGTGCCTGGGGACAACTGGAGAGTAAGAAGGAAGAGTAAAAGATGTATTCTGCCTTTCCTCTGAACCGTGCCTGGGGTCAACTGGAGAGTAAGAAGGAAGAGTAAAAGATGTATTCTGCCTTTCCTCTGAACCGTGCCTGGGGTCAACTGGAGAGTAAGAAGGAAGAGTAAAAGATGTATTCTGCCTTTCCTCTATGAACCGTGCCTGGGGTCGGCTTCCCTCTGTGGGAGAATTTCAGCTCCCAGATGAAAGGAGGAATGGAATGAGTGTGCCGCTGGCCGCTGGATCCAAGCATATTCTCAATGACAGACGGTAGCATGGACATGGAGAGGTGGCCGGTCGCCCGACATCCCTTGTTGGAAGTGAACAGCACCTTGAGCCTGCCCACAGGCAAACTTGCCAGAACCAAAATCAGCTCAGCCTGAATGTGATCATGGCTCTCGGTCTCACTGCTCAACCAACTTAAAGGAAACAGGGGACACAGGAGCTTGCTAAACGCCTGCAGTGGATGCAATCAACAAAATCAGACAATGAGAGACTATACAAGTCGCCGATTCCTTCAACAAAATACTGTGGAAGAATAAACAAGAACTAGGTGGAACAGAAGCCCATAGATTAAAGGGATTTAAGAGACCTATCAATCAACAGTGACATGTGTGACTTTTGTGTGTCTCAGTTCAAATAATCAAACCGTGAAAAGTACACGGGGAAGTGTGAATACAGTATTTGATGATATTAAGGAATTACTGTTAAGTTGGCTGGTACGATAGTGATACTGCAGTTCTACTGGCAAGAACTTCAGACTGAAAGCCTGGCAGGGAAGGCTGTGAGCACAAAGCCGAAGTATATAGGCCTCCACAGTGTGGCTTTGCTCTCAGCACAGCAGCAGAAAGGATGGCCAGAGAGGGCTCCTCATGGGCACTGGGCCCAGCAGGAGTGAGGAGTATCAGGGTATGTGGCTAGGGGAGCAGAGAGGCTGTGATGTTGCTGGGCAGTGTGGGTCTGGGCTAGGGGTCTCCTGCCAGCTCCGACACATCAGCCCCTAGGCGGAGGCCCACAGCAGGCACCATGGGGTCAGGCTCCAGCAGGGAGGCTGATGCATGCCCTGGCTCTTCCTGACCCTGTTGCTCCCAAGGGGCTTCTCACCTCTGTGTTAGTGTCCACAACGCTGGCTTTCCTGCTCCCAACGATACTGCCTGGCTGCTTGGATGGCGTTTTCTGGAGGAAGTCAGAGATCCTCTGAACCAAGAAATCACGGTCTTTCAGGTTGGCAAACAAGAATGTCATTTTGCTTTTGGTGCTGATGGACAGGGGGCTGGGCAGCACGCTGGAGCTGTCGGCTTTTTCGACAATGGTCACCTGAGAAGGTGGAAGAACTCTTTTTAGTGTCTGTATCTCAGGTCCTGCCGCTGGGCATGCTTTGTGAATGACAGACTGTCATGCAGCTGTCCCCTCCTGGGCACAATGCAGTGAGTGGCCCGACTGCCCTCATATTCTGACTCTGCCACCCGCTGCACACAACCCCAACCAAGCTGCCTGTGCCTGTAAGGTCCTGTTTTTCCTGTCGATGGGGGTGAGCACATTGGCCATGCAGGGCGGTTCTGAGGATGATGACGTAAAGTGTTCAGCCCAGCTGCTGGCCGTCACCGGCTCTCAGAAGGCTGTCCTAAAGCAGGGCAAGCGGTCCCTTGCTTGCAGGACTGTCCCCTGCACTTGTTCCCAGGGAACACTTTTTGATAGCAGGGGTCCTGGAACTTGGCTCTGAACCTTTCTGAGGTGTGGAGGGCACAGGACAGGCTTTCAGCGGGCACCTCTGCAGAGCCCAAGGCCTGGCAGGGAGACAGACAAGGGATGCACCAGCTGAGCACAGTCAGCAGGGGTGAGTGCTGGGAAGGGGGAAGGCTGGGTGGCCCCAGGAGAGGCGGCCACTGAGCTAAGACCTGGTCCAGCCAGGTGAGTGCTGGGGAAGAGATGGGCAGGGGCACAGCAGTCACCCTGCAGAGCGGGGTGGGACTGCCTGAGGGAGGAAGAGAAGGCCAGAGAAGCCAGGACAGCATGACTGGGGACGCGGTGGGGAGTGTGTGTGCACTTTTTATGTTTGTGTGTGAGCATATACATGGGGTGTGCCGGGGCAGAGGCACACAGAAGGCCTCACAGGTCACAGGAGGCAGGTGGGAGAAGACACTAGAGGACTCTAAGCAGGTTGCCAACATGCTCTGACTGACATTTCAAATTTTGCTGGTTGCTGTGGGAGGATGTGTTGTAAAGGGGCTAAGTGTGTTGGGCCAGGTGTGGTAGCTCTTGCCTGTAATTCCAACACTTTGGAAGGCTGAGGAGGAAGGATTACTTGAATCCAAAAGTTTGAGACCAGCCTGGGCAACAAGAGGAACCCCTGTCTCTGTTAAAAAAACAACAACAACAAAAAAAAAACAGCTAGGTGTGGTGGCACACATCTGTTGTCCCAGCTACTTGGGAGGTTGAGGTGGGAGAATCACTTAAGCCCCGGAGATGGAGGCTGCAGTGAGCCATGATCACACCACTGCATTCCTGCCTAGGCAAGAGTGAGACCCTGTCTCCAAAAAAAACAAAAACAAAAAAACAAAGCGGAGGTGGGGGTTAAGTGTGGTTAGGGAGTGGCTAAAGCAGATGATGGTGGCAGCCATGGAGAGGAAGGGCTGAGCTCTGCGGGGTGAGCTGGCAAGACATGCTGTAGATAGGACAGAGGGAGGAGGGAGAGGTTGGAATCTAGGCTGATACGTGGTTTCTACCTGGACAAAGGGTGGAAGAGGGGTCACTTCCCAAGGGAAGTACGGAAGGGCGTGGTTGGGAGTGAAATTCAAGAGCCCGCTACACCCACAGCAGAGTGTGCTGCGTGTGCAGGAGCCTGCAGGCGGGAACGTGGAGGAGCGGGTGTGTTGAGGGGTTGGCATTGGCCGTCTCCACCCTGACCAGCTGCAGGGTTCATCACCAGAGCAAACTCAGCCCTCCAGCGTGGGCCAGTCCTGCTCCCCGAGCCCTCCAGTGTGGGCCGGTCCTGCTCCCCGAGCCCTCCAGTGTGGGCCGGTCCTGCTCCCCGAGCCCTCCAGTGTGGGCCGGTCCTGCTCCCCGAGCCCTGCAGTGTGGGCCGGTCCTGCTCCCCGAGCCCTCCAGTGTGGGCCGGTCCTGCTCCCCGAGCCCTCCAGTGTGGGCCGGTCCTGCTCCCCGAGCCCTCCAGTGTGGGTTGGTCCTGCTCCCCGAGCCCTCCAGTGTGGGCTGGTCCTGCTCCCCGAGCCCTCCAGTGTGGGCCGGTCCTGTTCCCCGAGCTCCACCAGGGTTCTACCATCTGAGATGTCAAGGGCCCGGCAAGAGAAATTCAAATGCAGCTTCAGGTGTCAGGAAGACCCCTAGGCCCAGGGGCCAGGTCAGTCCAGTGCCCGGGACAGATCCACAGGGCCCTAGTGCTAATAGAATGTGGGGTCCGGATAACACCTGAGCCTCTCAACCTGGAGCTTTTGGAGCTGTGGCTCTTCTGAGTTCCTTCCCTCTGACTTCTCTTGGGGAAACTGAGGCAACAACTCTCCCACACCTATTCTCAGCTACAGCTACACCTTGAGGGATTTGTGCAAATGGCAGGAAAGTCTTTAAGAATCTCAGCTGGGCGCGGTGGCTCATGTCTGTAATCCCAGCGCTTTGGGAGGCCGAGGTGGGCGGATCACAAGGTCAGGAGATCAAGACCATCGTGGCTAACACAGTGAAACCCTGTCTCTACTAAAAATCCAAAAAATTAGCCGGGCATGGTGGCAGATGCCTGTAGTCCCAGCTACTCGGGAGAGGTAGGAGAATGGCACGAACAGTGAGCAGAGATCACACCACTGCACTCCAGCCTGGGCAAGAGAGCGAGACTCCATCTCAAAAATAAATAAATACATAAATAAAAATAAAAGAATCTCACTTGCTTCTTCTTATAATTCAACAGTCAGTGCCCTGCTTGGCCACAAGGAAAAGGAGTCCTTGGGACCTGTCCTGACTCAGTCTCATGTCTTCTATTTGGGCAAGGTGCCTTATCCTTGCTCCACACCCCTTCACTGTAGTGCAGGACGGATGGCCTTATTCCCACCAGGGTCACTGTGGAGGCCCAAGAAACCCGAGAAGGAGCAAGCGAGAGCCAATGCCGCCTCACAGGGGAGAGCCGGCCTCTGATGGCCTGCTGGAGCCTGAGCCACAGCCAAGGTGCTGTGTCCAGAGAGGACTGGTGAGGTGGCCTCTGAGAATGACATGTGGGACCGGTGCAGGAACAGGGTCCTTTAAGCCCAGCCACAGAGCAGTGCTTTGCCAAAATTCAACTGCAGGGCCCAGAAGGCAAGCCTGACGGAAACTCATGCAAGTACCCGGGAGGGCAAGCAGTGTGCCCCCACCATGTCACCTGCCTCCCCCACAGGGCAGGTGCTTGTGGAGGGGCTCACTCGGCCTGCATCCTCCACCTGTCCCATCACTGAGTGACATGTGGCTGTCTGGGCTAGGGCCTCCTCCCAGATGCCCCCCAGTAAGCCAGGGCAGAGCAGGACAGGCTGGTCCCTGAGCTGACTGACCCCTCAGGGATAGAAAGGCCCTGGCCTCTCAATTAGGGGATGCTGACCTCCCTCAGGGGTATGATGAGGTGGCACGCGTCCTCCTCCTTGCTGGCGAAGCAGATGTAGTTGTTGGAGATGAACATCTGGCCAGGGATGTGCAGCTTGTTGAACGGTGTCCACAGGGTGCAGCTCGTGTGGCCGTCCAGCCGCTCATCCCTGGGTAGCCGGAACGTGGCTCGGTAGCACTCATTCTTGGCTCGGGCGTCCAGGTCTCTGGGGAAACAAGGTGGGAGGACAGGAGGAAAGGGGACAAAGTCAGGACCAGCACACTCTCAAGGAAGCCTGGGGCCTCCCCAGGCCTGTTTCCACATCAGATTCAGGATCCCTGGGGCTCTCCCTGGAGGAAGTCCCGCTCAGGGACCTGAGAGTTCAATAGAAGATGCACGCTGAGTCACCAGGCAGAAGGTGGGACAGTCACACAACCAGCGGAGAAGTGGCCAGCAAGCAATGTGTCCTGAGACTGCTTTGAAAAGGACACCTAGACGCTGGCCTGGGCAATGTGCAACCCATCCCTCGGTACTGAAGGGCAGACAGAGCCCAGAGCGTCTGCACTGGTCCCACTCAAATGGACGGCTCTGGGCAGCTCTTCCACCCTGGGCAGGCCTAACCCCAGGTTTCACCTTGAAGCCTGGGTGAGGAGCTCCCCACAGGGAGGTGTGGAGCTAAAACTAAAGCATGCGGCTGCTAACAGACGCGCACGCCTGTGTATCTCATGGCTGTGACAGTGGCCTGGCCCAGGGCCCCACCCCTTCGGTGGCTCTGTTCACATAAACCCTCCCAGCCCCAAAGGGAGCCTCCTGTCTGGCCTGGGCTGCCGTGGCCTAAGCAGGGCCTGGCTGCACCCTCGCCGGCAGTGCCAGCATGGCCATGCTCCACCTCTACTGTTCTTTCCAAAAGGTCCCACGGCCAACCAGCACCCACACCCTAAGGGCAACATGCTGGCACAATCTTCTGCTTCTGGGGGTGGACCCCAGAGTTTGGGCCTAGACCATAGTCTGTGGGTGCAATGCAGGAAATGGCCTGGTTGGAATGAGGTTGCTGAACACATGGGTGTGAATCTGGCTGTGCTCAGGTTGGCTGTGGGACCCAGGGAACCTCAGAGATCTTGGCCAGCCTCTTGAGTTTCCCATAAGCTACAACCTAGAAGCTTAAGCATAAGCAGCCCAGGAGGGCCGGCTGCTATGATGCGTTCCTATCCATCAGTCCTCTGGACAAGGCAGCAGGGACTCAGACCCACACATGGCCCAGCTCCTTGGCTGGCTTCAGACCCAGAGGTCTGCTTCCACATCAAACTCAGGACCCCTGGGGTCCCATGGCTGGGAGGGTCCTCTGGCCAGAGTCTCGGGATATACAGAAGAGTTATCAATCACGGTGGGACGGAGGCCGTGCACTTGAGCCCAGATTCACCAAAGCCTTTCTGGGGGCGTCAGAGCACCCCGGCTGAGGTGGCTAGATCCTGGCTCCACTGCTCACTGAGGACTTCAGGCAACTTACTTGACCTCTCCGTGCCTCAGCTTCCTTGTCTGATACCTAGGGATGGTAACAGACCCTTCCCATCGTAGGGCCAAGAGGAGTAAAGTGTGAAAAGCCTCCTCCCCGTTAGTGGTCAGGACATCACTGCTATCTCCTGCTGCCTCTCCACACGCTACTGCAATGATCTGTTTACCTGGCTTCCCTCCCAAGTGGGGAACCCATGAGGGGTAAATGTGGACACCCTCTCCAGGTCTACACACTTGGACCAGGCAGGTCCCAGCCAAGGTCAGCAAACCTGGCTCACATGAGCCCACCCCAGCCCTGGAGGGTAACACACCGCTTCAGGGCTGAGATGTTCCTGTGTGGCCGGACAGGCCTGGGCAGGACCTTGTCCTCCAGGAAGCCCTCACTGTCCAGCAGCTGCCGCATGGCCAGGTTGGCCAACTGCTCCATGAGCTTGAAGGTCTCGCCGATGTTGAGGAACATGGAGAAGAAGAGCTCCTGGTCGCGAGTGTCCACACGGATGCTCTCGGGGAAGAGCAGGGTGGCGTTCTTCTCCAGACGCGTTATGTCCACCCACTGCACCACGAGGCTCACTGTGCCCGCAGGGACAGACACACCGCGGGTCAGGGCCTGGCAGGGTGAGGCTCCTGATGCCCATCTGTACCCCAGACCCACCCTAGGGAACTGCTCTCTGGGGGCAGCACTTCCTGCATGCCCAGGCCTGGCTGGGCTGGGTCACGCCCTCCATGTGGAGGGACCAGGCCACTGAGGTGTCCACTGCCTTTCAGACCAACTACACACGGTGTCTGCCCCACCAGTGGCTGAAGGGGAAAGGAACGAATGTGCGGAGGTGAACCACCAAGACCCACCCCGTAGCTCCCCTAAGTGGGAGCGCACTGATGTGTGAACAGTCACAGCACAGCATGGCCAACACAGAGCAGGACCCAGCTCCTGCTGATGGGAGGTGACTGGCCACCTGGTTGTGACAGGTAAGTGGCAAGGGCAGGAGGGGGCACAGGGAGGCTGTGGGCTGAGGGAGACGAGGAGGGAGGAGGGCGTGGTGGGCTTGGGGATGGCTAAGACCTTGGGGGCTCTTTCTGGAGCTGCTGGGGAACCAGGCTCGCATCCTGTGGCCGGGGTGTCTGCAGAGAGGGACCTGCAGCAGATGAGGGCTGTGGCACACACCCAAGGCACTGCATGGCATGGAATCCCAGGAATTCGGGGCAGACGTGTGCCCGAATACACCAGCTCAGCAGAAGAGGGCAGGGCAGGCATGTGGAGCCACCATGTGGAGAACCCTACTAGCGAGGGGTGGGCACGGTAAAAGCCGGCTGGGAGCAGGTGGACGCCTGGCCAAGGCTGGACAGTCCCACCCTGGGCTGCGAAGGTGGCATTTGGGCTTCAGGGAGATCCCTCTGGTGGCCATGTGGGGATGGAGAATCTGGAGGCTGAGGGCAGGGAGGGGCTGAGGGCGTGGGGGCTGGGGCACACTGAGGGGCTGGCTCACCTTCCTTCCCCAGCAGGAAGGAGTAGAAGCACAGGTGGTTGACGGTCAGGTAGAGCCAGCCCTGCCGGGGCACGCGGCCCTTCCAGTAGCTGCAGGAGTAGTAATTCACCAGCTTCTCGCCCTCAGGCATCCCAAACTGCTTCCGCATCTTCAGCTCGGCCTCCTTGAACTTCCCGGGGTCCTCGTCTCCCTGGGGCTGCAGGTTCTTGTTCTCTTCTGCGATGATGCCCTGGAGGAAGACAAGAGGACTAGGGCTTGCCCTGCACAGTCCTGGACAGGTCACAGCGTGGAGCAGAGAGGCCCAGGGAACCCAGGACTCATGGACCTTGGTCTAAGGGCTACAGGCACAGGTGGGAGCAGTCAGCGGCTCTTGCTGGGTTGCAGTCAAGGCACATGGATGACGGATGCTGCCTGTGTGACTCTCCAGATAAAGCTCCTGCAACTCCCTGAACTACTGTCATCACCAGCTGTGAGCAGAGACTTAAAAAAAAAATTAAGACAGGGTCTCACTGTCACCCAAGCTGGAGTGCAGCCTCAACCCAACAGCTGAAGCCATCCTCCTGCCTCAATTCTAAATATTTTCTAATTTCCATTTCTTCCTTGGCCTATGAGTCATTTAGAGTTTTTTCTGCTGATGTGTTTTTTGGGCCTGGCATATAGGAGGCAGTGAATAATGCCACAACTACTATTATTATCACCGCCCAATTGCTCACCAGAGAGTAAAGGTTTGCTTCTACTCTCTCCACCTGTTTTCCTGGAGACAGAGGCAACGAGGTCTCAACTTGAACCCCTAAGTGCACCGAGAAGAGCTGAGAAACTTGGTCATGTCTGTCCCGGCATGGGAGGTTCTGGTATCAGGAATTCACAAGGGCCCAAAGCAACTTTGTACCACACGACTTTGACCTAGTAAGAGCCTTCCCATGACTCTAACTTAAGGAAATAACCTAACAGAAAGAACAAGACACATACATTCAGGCCAGGTGCGGTGACTGACGCCTGTAACCCCAGAACTTCGGCAGGCCAAGGTGGGTGGATCACTTGAGGTCAGGAGTTTGAGACCAGCCTGGCCAACATGGCAAAATCCCATCTCTACTCCTTTTTTTCTTTTGAGACGGAGTCTCACTCTGTTGCCCAGGCTGGAGGGCAATGGCACGATCTCGGCTCACTGCAAGCTCTGCCTCCCGGGTTCACACCATTCTCCTGCCTCAGCCTCCTGAGTAGCTGGAACTACAGGCACCCGCCACCACGCCTGGCTAGTTTTTTTGGTATTTTTAGTAGAGACAGGGTTTCACTGTGTTAGCCAGGATGGTCTCTATCTCCTGACCTTGTGATCCACCCGCCTCAGCCTCCCAAAGTGCTGGGATTACAGGCATGAGCC